TAACTCAGCTGGTTCTCAACCTTTCCAGACTACCGTACCCTTTCTAGAGTCCGATTTGTCTTGTGTACTCCCAAGTTTCACCTCACTTAACTTACAAAAATCAGACATAAAAATACAAAAAAGTGTCATAGCCACACTATTACTGACAAATTGCTGACTCATTTTTACCGTCTAATTATAAAATAAATCAATTGGAATATAAACATTGTACTTTTATTTCAATGTATAGTATATACAGCAGTATAAACAAATCATTGTCTATGAAATTTTAGTCTGTACTGACTTTGCTAGTGCTTTTTATGTACCCTGTTGTAAAACTAGGCAAAATATCTAGATGAGTTGATGTACCCCTGGAAGACCTGTGTGTACCCGCAGGGGTACTCATACCCCTGGTTGAGAACCACTGGTCTAACTGATCCTGATTGGGGTCAGGAAGGAATTTTCCCCTGGGTCAGATTGGCCGAGACCCCACGGGGTGGGGGTGGGGAGGGGTTGCCTTCTTCTGCAGCATGGGGCATGGGTCATTAGCAGATTTAAACTAGTGTAAATGGTGAATTCTCTGTAACATGAAGGCTTTAGTTTAAACCATCATTTGAGGACTTCAGTAACTCAGCCAGCTTAGTTTCTATTTCAGGAGTGGGTGGGTGAGATTCTGTGGCCTGCAATGTGCAGGAAGTCAGACTAGCTGATCACGATGGTCCCTTCTGACCTTAAAGTCTGAGCCTAGGAGACAAAAATATCCCAAGCCAAGGCCATGTCTACACCACACAGCTTTTAGCAACATGGCTGGGTTGACATGGCAGTGTTGCTAAAAGTTGGGCAGTGTGAATGCCGTTTGTCGGCACTTTTGCCGACAAAGTACTTCCACCCCCAATGAGCGGGGTTTGCATGCTCCTGCCGACAACGCAGGCGTTCACACAGGCACTTGCCACGGCAAAACTTTCAGGGGGAGAGGGGGTTTAAGTATCTGGGAACAACAAAAGTTGTGTCGTTCAATTGCAAGTGTAGACAAAGTCTAAAAAACGGGACAAGGTCACTGCATACATCTGGGAACATCTTTTAATGTTGGTAAAGGAGGAAGATATATCCTCCCCCGACACAAAGGGAGGATCAGCTTAAGTTTGCTCCATTAATGCAAGATAGTAATTTATTAACTGCCCGTTAAAACTTCTAGTAATGAATGAGGTAATCTAGATCGAAGTAAACAAACAGCACTTGTTTGATGCTATCACCAAGTGAATTGTATCTTGTTAAAAGGATTGATAAGTTCAAGGTCTTCCCAGGAAAACCAATACCTTCAATCAGGGATGCTGTTTAGAAAGCCAGTTTCAAAAGGTTTCAGAGTAGCAGCCGTGTTAGTCTGTATCCGCAAAAAGAACAGGAGTACTTGTGGCACCTTAGAGACTAACAAATTTATTAGAGCATAAGCTTTCGTGGGCTACAACCCACTTCTTCGGATGCATAAGTTTCAAAAGGTCTCCTCTCCCATGCCCTATTAGGAATCAGGCTAGGAAGCAGTTTATGTCATTGGCCACATCAGCCCTCCTAGACTTTAGCCACAATTTTAGTCTCCAGTATACTATGCTTTTTAAAATCCATGCAGCAAAAGCTGTGAATATTAGACCACACCCAATAGAACATGAATAACTTAAGCATAGGCTTTGATTTTAGGTCTGCTTATTCAGACTAGAAAGCAAAACCGCAAGGTTCGTTAAAATATTTTCATTATTTTAAATTTTAAGCCCTGAGCCAAGGAGCTGTGCAACAAGAATTAAAAATGCAACATTCAAACTTTTTCAAATGCACTGAAAATATTGAAGTCACCCAACCAAAAGAATCCTGGCAGATTATGTATGTATTCAGTATGTACCTTCCAGAAGCCCTTCTTTAAACCTTTATATTTTTCCACAAACTGCAATGAATTCCCACCAGATCACCAAATGACACATACCAGATTTCAAGTTTCTCTCTCAAATCACTGAAGCTGTTCAAAAAGGGAAGCAAAAAGCTTTTAATATAAATGGGAAAGTTATGTTCTCATATGGCTGAACTATTTTTGCTAAAAAACTTTAGAAAACTGTCACTTCTGGGATCAAAGCTAAGTTGCCACATATTTCAGCAAAGAAGGTAAAGAAATTGGAAGAATTATGAGAAGCTGAAGATGAACCCTTCAAATGGAAATACTTGTACAACCTTCATTAGTGGTGTTGCTCCATGCACCATCTAGGAGATCAGATTTCTTTTTAGTGTTCATTTATCACACAGAAGCAGATTACTGTGGGCAGTTTTAATCTGATAAACTAGATGTCAATACGACATTTAACGCTTCTCCACAAAAGCTTCAGATTAAGCCAGCGTATTGTGCATAGTTGGTCCAATGTCAGAATCAGTGTAGAATTTACAGTACACTAAAGCAGTCAGGTCTATGGAATTTTGGGTGGAACTTACTGAAAGCAAGACTGATCCAAACTGAAGACAGGAGGTTTACGGTCCCTAATTTTGGAAATCTTCTAAAAAGTCACCTCACCTGAAGCCTTTGTCCATAATCAACTGCTCCTTAGAGGAGATATTACCGAGTACTAAGGCAGTTACCTAGTACGGTACTCTGGCTAGCAAGACCAACAGGCGGAATCAGTAGGAAAGAATAGTTTACTTCCATTCCAGAAGACTACAAGGCAAAATGTTTAAGGGTACATCTACATGGCAAAAAGCCCTCATCAGCAACTCTCAGAGCCTGAGGGACAACTGACTATGGGGCTAAAAACAAACCGTTCCCACTTGGGCTGGAGCCTGGGCTCAGAGATCTTCTCCCTTTGCCAGGTTTCAGAGCCCAGGGTCCAGCCTGAGCAGGAACGGCTACATGGCTATTTTAAACCCCGCGAGCCTGAATCAGTTGCCTCAAGCTTTGAGACTCGCTGCTGTGGGTTATTTTTGCAGTGTAGACATACCCTAGGGCAGCTGAACGCTGAGCAAGGGACGATGGTGCATCTACAAAGGGGAGCTTGGGAGAAAGGAACGCATTTATGTGGAGCTGAAATGAGAGTGGGAGAACTCAAGAGTTAAGGCAGGACACCTGCCAGACTGACCAAAAAGAGGTGGAAATGCAGTTCCCTGAATGCTTTATCTAAATAGAAGGGAGGGAAAGGAAGAGCCACTGAACGGGTTAGAACTGATGGTGCCATTGGAGTAATTCTAATCTGTTGGGCAAATACAAGTCATGGGGTGCATTCAAATAGGAAAACTGCAGACAGCACATACCAGAGCCAGCAATCGCTCTGTTGCAGTCAGCAGGGTCCAGCTTGCAAATCCAGCTCCAGCAGCATACAGCTGGGTCTGTCCCCTAAAACGCTGTAGGAGATTTCTGCCAAAACAAGCACTCCTGTTCAGACCAGAGTAAAGGTTTACACCGTCCTCTCTCTTTGCAGCCTACCTCTTCTGCCTTTCAAAGGGGCAGAAACTAGCTAGTTGGCTGGCACTGTTTAGCTTTTTTAAAAGTCAGACACCTTTGCTCTAACAGTTCAAGCAAACTCACTCCCCAAAACTCTTCAAACCCAAATGCTGTCAATGGTCAGTAAAAACAAAGCATCCAAGATTATGCAACCATTTCACCCACAGAAATCGTTACAGCCATTATAGAACCCGATAGAAAATGGGTTATCAATAGGAGCCTGAGCAGAGTCTGCAAGTCAAACATCTTCACGTTAACTCAGCTAAGTCAAGCCTGCCAGTGGAGTTTGCCTTAGCAGTGGCTGCAAACACTCATAACTAATGATATTTCCAAACCACATCCTCTTCTAACCCAGATAAAGAGACATGGGCAGCTGCTCAGGAACATTTCCCCCAGCAAGCAACCTGGAAAAAAAAGAAGTCAGCCACACGTTTGCGCCAAGCAATCAAAATGATTCATGTGTTAAGAAAATAACTTGCATTCCCATCTTCAGAGGTAAGAGGGGTAAGGGAGATAGTTGGAATGTTAGCCACTATTTATCCCACTCAGACAGAGCTCAAGTAGTATCAGCGAGCACCAGGGCCGGCTCCAGGCACCAGCTTAACAAGCAGGTGCTTGGGGCGGCCAAAGGAGAGGGGCGGCACCTGCGGCAATTCGGGGGCGGCAAGTCCCTCAGTCCCTCTAGGAGCGAAGGACCTGCCGCTGAACTGCCGCCACCAATCGCGGCTTTTTTTTTTTTTTTTGGGCGCTTGGGGCGGCAGAAATGCTGGAGCCGGCCCTGGCGAGCACGCAGCAAGAAGTCTGAAAATATGCTTGCTGCCTGGAAGCCTGCATTCTTCTGTTGGTTATGTGAAAGGCAGGGACTGCCTCTTCTCCTGCAAGGACAGGAAAGTAACAGCTACACTTTTCAACAGTCACTGCCCCAGCACAGTCAGACCAAACCTGTGTGTGTTTACCTAACATGGGACAAACATGCTTTGATTTTCTAACTTTAAATAACTGGAGGCTTGTGATGACGTTTTCCTGGCAATGCATACTAACACACCACGTATTGAGACAAACAACAGTGAATCTCATACAGACTGGAGGTGGATTTATTCCACCATCACAAATATTCCACCTAGACGGTCCATCTGTTGCAGGTTTGCCCAACCATATGCTAGATGATCACTCTAAAAAGACCAAATAAAAACCAGGCAATTGAGATGTTTCTTTTCTCGAAAGGGCAATGTCAGATGGCTTCCTTGTTTTTTAAGGGAGGAGCACGCCAACTGAGCTCATGTTAGTTGAAATTCCTCGTTTGTACCGCATTGCCAGTTGAGGAGGCCAGAAACTGCACTGGGACACTTACTGTGTGGCCAACAAGAAGGCTGTCTCTTAGTTAAAGCTAGTATTTCAAATCCAAAGGGACATCCCTGCCAGAGGCCACCCATTTGAGGACGTAGGGTGGGAACTCCACATTAGATCTGACAACATACCTCTTGAGCTGAATCTGGTTTCACCTGTTACTTAAAAACACTGACTATTTATATGATTAAACTGCCTGACTTACCCAGTTCTTTAGATCCTTGGCTTTCACTGGCCAACTCCCCCATTTTAACCAGAGCATCAAAATATCCTTTTGCAGCATACGTTACGCCTGAAAAACATCAGGAAATAAAAATGATTCGTTAGCTTCGGGGCTTAGAATAATTATAATAATTTCTACACTGCCCAACAGGGTGCTAGACGCTGTCCAGAACAAACAGACAAGGTCCCTGGGTCCACAGAGCTTGCAATTTAACTGGAGATAGAAGACAATGAATGGGGGGTAACAAATTGGCAAGAAGGAGGTCAGGATGAGGCAGGGAAAGGGCTACAGCATTAAGATTATGGGGTTAGTCAGACAAAAAAAAAAGTAGCACATAAGAACTGGATACTTTTCCCTAAACGCTTCAGCAGGACTATTGTTGCCTATAATAATCCTTTTATTGTTCAGAAAAATCACTGCTAAATAATTGACTATCACTGACTTTCATTACAGTTCATTCTTGTAGCTAGTTTGTTGACATTCCAACTACACACCACATCACTTTTAATCAGATAAGTAGGGAGAGGGTTCCTCTAATCACAAGAACATGGTGTATAGCTTTTGGTCAACACCATTAAATTATGTGCCGTTTCCTCCAACACGTGTTACTGATTAAGAATTTCTTCAGGTGCCCTTCGGAAGGGCTACAGAACTACAAAATAGAAAGGCAATTTAAAAAAAAGTTACAGGAAGCCTTGTGCTGTAACGTTTATTCTGGATAGGGAGGTGAGGCTAGAGTCAGGATCTCAAAGCAGGTTTTCCCCAGAGTGCTTTCAGATATCAAGGGTAATATGCTGGTTTTATTCCAAGCATAGGCTTTAAAATAAAGAAAATAAAATAAAAATGAAACAAAACAAAAAAACCCACTCACACACTACGGACTCAGATTAAGTTAGCAACATTTTAAATAAGAGACTCCATTTCTTGTCCAGGTCATTCAGGGATGTGTTAATAAATCTAATCACCTTTATTCTCAAATACAAACAGCTTTTTTCCCCTGCAAGATTTTGTGCATTTCCTCCCCAGGAGGAATGTGATTTTTAAATGCAGCCCACACAGAATATGAGACTTAAAATGAAATTAATAAGAAAACACCCACCCAATTCCTGAACCACAATTCAGTTAAGGTGGTTTAATGCAGCTGGAGGTCACTGCTGCATACAGGGCACCATTAAGTACCAGTCCCCCAGGAGATTACCGCAAGAGTCCAGAAGAGCAGGAACAATTATATTTTTCTTTAGTTTGTGGAGACTGCTAAGTGAGTCCCATTGGTTATCAACAGCCGGTGCATGTGTGGGGGATTAGGAGTGGCTGTTCAAAGGAGTCGTCTCTGAAATCTCAGCCAAAAGGATGTGATACTGTAGAAGTCTGAGTCACCAGATAACAGGGGGCTTTGTGTTTATTTTTTTTTTAATTAAAAAAGAAAAAAAGGAGGGCTGTAACTGAATGCAGAACTTAAACAGGCAGGTAGAGATAGGAACTGAACTCTAAGGATCCCAGGGCCATCTACAATAGAGGCTTTCATACACTGATTCTTATAACCTCAGCTGAATCCTTAGGGACTTCTCTGAAGGTAAGAAGCAATTAAATTCTACACACCAGCTCAGTTCTGAGAAGAAACCGCCAATAGCACCCAGCTGGACTCAGATCAGGAAGCTTTGTAAAATGAGCACTACTGCGTATTTTCAAGGTTGCAGATGATTGAGCTGGATGGACTCCACTTGCTAGGCTAACCTAGAAAACCTGCTTGGACATCGATAGTGAGAACTAGCAAAAAGCAAACAGGGGAGGCTAGGGAAGGGTTCAGACCCAAAGGGGACATGGGAAGGTGATACTCTATAGGAGTCAGTAGTTCCATCCAAACGTTATTTTGGGGGGAAAAAATCTCAAGACTGAAATCAAGATGGAGCTCTCCAATTTCACATTATCCCTACAAATTAGATACACTGAGCTTTAAAGTAAAGCTCAGAGACTTCACTTTGCTGTGCACCCCTTTCCATGAAAGCATGTCTCAGCACAGACTCACTTGAGAGCTGGACCATAAGATTCTAGGACTGTATAAGTAAGGGCATTGCCAGCAGATCGAGGGACATGATGATTCCCCTCTATCGAGCATCGGTGAGGCCTCATCTGGAGTACTGTGTCCAGTTTTGGGCCCCGCACTACAAGGAGGATGTGGAAAAATTGGAAAGAGTCCAGCGGAGGGCAACAAAAGTGATTAGGGGGCTGGAGCACATGACTTATGAGGAGAGGCTGAGGGAACTAGGATTGTTTAGTCTGCAGAAGAGACTGCAGTTTCAGCACTGAGCAGGGGGTTGGACTAGATGACCTCCTGAGGTCCCTTCCCATCCTGATATTCTATGATACTAAGAAGTTTTCATGGAGCTCCTTTAAGAGTATGAACTTGTTTAAAAAAAAAAAAAAATCTGGTCAACAGGCGATCAGCAACGTTCAAATAGCTAAGTCCAGATTGGTGCGCCAATGTGTAGCTTCAGAAATGACTTGGTGTAAGCTTGAGATGCCACTGGCAAATGATTGAAGCAGGCATGGATTTACAGTGTGGCCCATAGTTTGTGTCACAGTCCTATTGTCTCATCATCCAGAAGTGTAAGATGAACCATTTCACCACATGAGAAAGGGGGTTTGCAGAAGCTTTAATAAGGTGGTGAACAAAGCACTCAGTCACCAATTGAAATTAATAGGCAGCAAGTTTAAAACAAACGAAAGGAAGTATTTCTTCAACATACAGTCAACCTGTGGAACTCTTTGCCAGAGGATGTTGTGAAGGCCAAGACTATAACAGGGTTCAAAAAAGAACTAGATAAATTCATGGAGGATAGGTCCATCAATGGCTATTTGCCAGGATGGGCAGGGATGGTGTCACTAGCCTCTGTTTGCCAGAAGCTGGGAATGGGCGACAGGGGATGGATCACTTGACTCCCTGCTCTGTTCATTCCCTCTGGAGCACCTGGCATTGGCCACTGTAGGAAGACAGGATACTGGGTTAGATGGATCTTTGGTCTGATCCAGTGTGGCCATTCTTATGTTCAGTTTTCTGGGATCAGCTTGACACAATGCAGCCCTTCAACTTCTGCAGCGTATGCAACCCAGTTCAGTTTGCAGACGTTTCGGCGCGGTTTCAGCATTGATTCAAGCAACAGACCTTCAAAGCCGCCACACACAATAACAGGCTGCGTTGGCTGCCAGGAAAGTTTCCCAGCACTGGTTCTGAAGCTTGCAGAGGAACACTTACTGTCTTTCATCAGACAGCAGAGGTCCAGATTGTGTTTAGTATTTCATCTGACCAAGCATTGTTTGGGGTCTAAAGGAAGGTGTACGGTTATGAACCAGGCCCAACCTGTAAGTTGCTCACCAGCTGCATCATTTCTGCTATAGCCACATCGTGAGTGGTGACTATTGAAATCACACCGAGGTACAAAGCTGGGTGGGAAAGAGATGGCAATACAGGCTTCAAGATTTGGAGGTTTATAGATGTTCATTGTGGTCAGATGTCCAATTCTTATCACAGTAATAGAGATACCCATGGTCTTGGATTCCTCCAGGGCTGAGATATCTTTAAGACTATGCCTGATGTACACAGCAAGGCTAAATTTTGTCATTCATGGTGGTCATGAGTTGGCAGCCATGAATTCTACATCTTACAGTCTGCAGCACGAGTTTCTTGTAGAGTAACCATGTCAGTATCACCCTCCTTATGCACTCTGGACAGATTGTCACACTTTGCATATGACAGACCTTCCACATCAAGTTGGTGCACACAGCAGCTGTCCTATGGTTCTCCTGTGCTGAGCTAGACAAGGACTCAATTTCATGTTACTAATCGTATCAGGAGATGGATATCCGGTGGCTTTCAGGAGCAAGATGACAACCTTCAAGTGAAGCTTCGGTTTCGGGTGATTATTAACTCAACACATGGTCAGAAAGCTACCAGACACCGATGTGTCAGTCTCCCGGTAGGATCAGCAATGTGAAATCTATAGCCAGACAACCTGCCACAAAAGGGGTGATACAGGAAGCACTGCATGAAGTTCTGTGTCCTGTGTTATCCAGGAAATCAGACTAAGTGATCGTAATGGCCCCTTCTGGCCTTAAAAATCTGCAAATCTATAAAAGCCAACAGGCCATTTAGTGATTTAAATCTATGTTTCTTTAACTACCTCCAAAAGGACCCGATATTCCAAGTAAGTGACTTCACATCTGAGGGAACTGGGGTTATTTAGTCTGCAGAAGAGAAGCGTGAGGGGGGGATTTGTTAGCAGCTTTCAACTACCTGAAGGGGTGTTCCAAAGAGGATGGCGCTCGGCTGTTCTCAGTGGTGGCAGATGACAGAACAAGGAGCAATGGTCTCATGTTGCAGTGGGGGAGGTCTAGGTTGGATATTAGGAAAGACTATTTCACTAGGAGGGTGGTGAAGCACTGGAATGGGTTACCTACGGAGGTGGTGGAATCTCTTTCCTTAGAGGTTTTTAAGGCCCGGCTTGACAAAGCCCTGGCTGGGATGATTTAGTTGGGATTGGTCCTGCTTTGAGCAGGGGGTTGGACTAGATGACCTCCTGAGGTCTCTTCCAACCCTAATCTTCTATGATTCTGTTTTAAGAAGTGGTTAGCTAGACTACCTAATTATGTGCACTCCCAGCCTTGAAATGGCAGCCTTTAAAAATCAGAGTCAAAAATTAAAATCTCCATTTTAAATAAGGGTTAAAATATTTTTAAAATATTTAAAATGGCAACATGGTATTTTAAAAAAAGAGATAGTAAATATATGGTTCTCTCACCTTCTAACAGCCAAATCTTTACTGCTCAAGCCCTTTTCAAGCTCATCATTCTTAAGAAGCCTGGTCCCCAAAGCACCTTCAGGCCATGAGTGCATGGGAGAGGCTTTGCAGCTCACATCATAATGATACGACATTTGCATCTTAATTTAAAAAAAAAAAAAAAAAAAAAAAAACCCTCTGCAACTTCCCCCCGCCCCATGGAGAAAAGGCATCCAGTGACATTTCAAAATTCTAGAACAATGCTACCCGACTGCACCCAGTATGTCTGTCTGCCTCTGCCCAGAACCCCAACCCCCCACCCCGAATACCACAGGACCTGCTGCACCAAGGGTTTCAGCACTGAATGCATTTGCAGTGCAACTTCACTTACTTGCCAAGGCTTTTTCATAGTTCTTCCCCATGGAAATGAAGTTCCTGAGGCTGGGATTGAACTGTTCCATGATCGTCTGAAGGAAAGAGCACAAGAAGTGGGAGACATTAGCAAAGCTGGCTGGGCGAGGGACAATTAAGAGTCTTGCAGCAAGACTGAGCATCGCCAGGTCTGTTTTGTGTATGCACACAGAGTGGCTGATTCACCACATACACACATGCTGCCATGCACAGCAAAGTCCCAGAAGCAGAGAGTCCTCCCACACAGCCCTCTATAGACAAACACAATCCAAACTTACTGACGTTTTACAAGAGGATATTGGCTGCACATACACAGCCCGGTTTTAAGTATAGCAATGTTTTATGAATAATTCCAGACATCACGATGATTTTATTTTCCTAGAAGGATATTTATTTTTTCAGCGCTGGCAATATGAAGTCCAAAGAGTAATAGGATCATAGGATGATCTATGATCACAGGAGCTGGGGATCAACTAGAATCATTCCTAAATCAAATGGATAAAGCAGCAGAGTTGACTGAAAGCGATCTGGTTGGCTAAATAGAAGTACTGTTCATATTATCTATTTTGTATTTATAACCCATGTATTGTCCTGTCCTTTCTTGAAAGGAGATGAAGTATCAGAAGGACACATAGGTGGCATTATCAAGGTAGAAATATTCTTATATTTATGGGGTACCAAGAATGCTTTTGTACCTGGATAGAACACCACGTGGTAGGTACGCCAAATTGCATTTAGTGAAACTGTATAGAGAAAGGTGTATAAAAGGACCAAAGCACCCACTCATGCATCTTCCTTTGACAGTATCTGCAAAAACCTTCTAAAAAACAAACCAAACTGACTGCTTCCCCCTAATTTTTCAGCTTAGTTAGAATATTTCAGAACATATGTTTGCTTCAGCTCTCCATATAGTATAAATGGCAAAATGTGTGCAGTAGAATTTTTAAATATTTCTAGGCCTAAATGCAAGCTAAAGAGAACATACACATTAGCTTCTTTCGTAGGATAAACACACCCTCCCTTTTGGAAGAATTTATGGGTAGCAACCACAGCAATACCAGCTAGAGGGGTGATATTAAGACAAAGGCAGGCTTCTCTTCGCTTACATCGCATTGGTCATTACCCAGCAACTGCTGAATCAGCTCAACAGATTAAGAGGATGTAAGGAACCTTCGTTTTCTTTCATCATCAAGGGCAACTCCTCCACAGAGCTATTCCTTAGGTTGTGCTCCAGCCATTTGGCACAGAACTGATACCTAGCAGGAGACCGAGAACCCAGAGAGAACCGCAGCCCTCAGGAACTTCTCCTTCAGCCCCTCTGGCTGGCACTAGCCATAGTCTGTCATAAAGGGTTAGGGTCTGACATACAGATCTCTGGTTTTGATACAGTCATTGCCCATTGATAGTGAATGGTTGGACAATGGAGCTAATTAGGTGGCATTCTCAGCCTTTTCCTAGCAGGATGCACATACCATGGCGGATCCAAAACAAAAAACCCCACTTACCACTTGCCTGGAATTTGCCTTTAGTAATTTAAAGAACACGGAAACAAAAAACTCAGCTTGAACTTTCTTCTGCACTTATGTGTTCCTACAACCCTCCCCCCAGTACCTCTCTGTCTTAGCCCCTACCCCCTCCCTTCCTCAGAAAGGGGCTTAAACCCCCCTTATGCTACTGTGTGGGCACCAGTAGGACTCAGCTGGTCAGAAACAGCGAGTCAGCAGAAATAACTTTATAACCATGCAATAGTCTAGCATCTGGGGGAGTCAGCAAAAGAGCTCTGTCCTAGACCTTGCTACCCTGTTATAGGAACTTTTAAACAAGTGACAATTACGAGATAATTTAATGCACTGAAGAAGACTTAATCTAGACCAAAAAAATTCAAGAACTAACAAAACAAGTTAAAGACTGATTACTCGTTCTGGCTAATCCAGAATTATCTAGTTCTGCACCAGAATCTCACTCCCCAAGAGCCACCGTAAATCAGACCAGCTGCAGAGCTGACAACGAACGGCAAAAGGGAACACATTTCAAGGAATGCCCTGGGTATCATAGGCCAACAGGGAAGCATCAGTCAGATCACTCACACTTGACAGAAGAGGATTTGGAGTAGGGTATTAAAAAAAAGTTATTTAAGAGCAGGGGACAGAATAAATGGCAATCACACAATGAATGCATCCTTCAGGCAGAGTTCACTCCAGCCTTGGGTCAGGCTGTGAGCAGCAAGGCAGAACCTGTGCTCGGAATGGCTAATGTTGCTGCTTCTCAGTTCTATTGTAGTTGGGAGGGAGGGGACAGGAAACGCCAATACACCAGAGACACTTTCTGGATAGGGAGGGTATTTTCACTTTAGGGGGAAAGCGTTTGTTTTTTCTAGCTCTACATACAGTGATCAGATCACTACCAAAAGAATGGATCTTTGTAAGTTTGTAGCAGGCTGTGAATGGTTTGTCCTACCCTGCTCCGCTCCAAGAAGTCATTCGATCTCCTTGTAACTATGGCATCTTAAAAACTAGACCCAAGTTCTCCAGCTGAGCTCTGTGGGAAGGATAATCAAGTCTCCATCCTCTCACTGACCCTTGAACTAAACTCTGGCTGTACAGGGGGAGCAACCTGGCAGCTAACACAAGCCCAGGGTAGCTATTGGATATTTGCCTCTCTGTCTTTGCAAAGAGTCCCCCACCCACCTTCAGTAACAAGCACTCCAGGATAAGCGAGGGCCTGTCGACAAGGACAGGGATATGAAATTCAGTTTAATACCTAAGTATCTTTGTGCCCCTAAAGCGTATGAGCATTCCCCGTGGAGAAGGAGGGGGTCACAAGGCTCTCACCCTCACACCACAGACTGTTACACATTTCTGGAAGGGGAGGGGAGGAGACAGACAGACAGACCCTTACGTTGAATAAGCTGATTAAACATCTGTCACCTCATTTGAAGCTGGCCAAACACCATAAAGCTCATTTTCCGCCTGAAGCATTTTTATCCTTAGTTCCTGTTCTTTTGAGACGGAGAGATTGTTTACAGTAATTTGCTTCTGCAGATACATCCACTGATGTTGATCAGCATTGCTATGTCTCTGCCATCTCAAAAGTTTAGAGCAGCAGGTTATTAATTTCAATGAGCTGCCATCTCCCCATAGGATACATTTGAGCACAGAGGCTGCAGTTTAATACACTATTTAGTGGTAATACTTTAGACTTCAGTGTTTGTTAGCTCAGGAATTTGTTTTAATCCTCAGCAATGCCAATGGCTTTCCTCCAGCACTTTTCCTAGCAGGCCAGCAAGAGTGAGAAGTGAGCGCTGAAGCCCATCAGCGGACCAGGGGAGAGGACCACCTCTGTCCTAGCTAGACACTCATTGTGCTCTGGGAAGCTTTCCAGAGAGACCAAAAGAGCAAACATCTAAGACAACATTCATCTAAGCTAGATCCAGCTGTGAAGCCTCGGCATGAACTCCCCCGCCACCACCCTGGCTTTGAAGGCACTTGAGCAAAAGGTAGAGACAGAGGGTTAGATTCGCATTGCACAGTACGCACACAGTACTCCAAGGGGTGAGATATACCCAGGGGGGCTAGAGGGTGAATGTTCAATGTTAGCATGTTGGGCTAACTAGGAATTTTACTGCTAATTAACGCTGTCGGTCAGCCTTTGTCTTTTGGATCAAAATATTTCAAACACTTCTACAGCTTTTAGTGAACATTCATTGGTAGAGCAAAATGACCCTGTAGCAACAAGCTGTTTCATGGATTATCTTCCACAATTATAGGAGGCAATTACCTATGAGAAGTTAATTACCACTAAGGGACAGAGAATTCACATATCATTCCTTAGGCCACATTTAATGCATGTGAAATTTGGTAGAAAATTATGCCTGCAAGTTACTACTAGTTCCTGCATATTCCCTCCACCGACCAACCTATGGTATCTCCACCACCCTTTACAGCAAGCTTGACAACTCTACCACATACATCAGTTAGAAATGGGGCCAGTCCCCTTTCTCCGCCCTTCAAAAGGCATAGCAACCACATCATCGTTTCAGGCAGAGCTGTTTCAATACCATAAGCTTTTCTCCATTCGATGCTCAGCCCCTGCAATCCCAGGCTGAACAATGTTGACACAGAAGAAATACTGGCAGGATTTCTGTGGGGAAGGATTTTGAATACGTTTGCTAGGTTAATGGCAGTAAAAAAAAAAAATCAATATAAAAAAGTCACTTTTGCAGCAGTGTCTGAGGGGATATAGATCTTATCCAAGGAAAAGACTTGGATACATAAAACTTACATAAAATAATGTAATGGAATCTACAGGCTGAAGAAAGCAGTATCCCAAATCAGAACGAACACTGAGCTCTTATTGCTACAGCAAGAATTTTAACAGTTTCCCATGAGTCATTGAGGGCTGGTCACAGTGGGCTGCCTTGCACAATGCATCTTTGGGACCTGCAAGTCAAACCTTCTTTATTTTCTTGGGTGTAAACTATGCCCACTGTATGAAACAAACCTAAATTTCATTCTGGAACTGGTTGTAAGTCCTGTGTGGCGATTAACCTACTGCACAGGTACAAGCAGAGGTAAATACTCTTTGTAAACATAGTGCATCTTGCGGATAAGAAGGGAATCAAACATGGGACTCATCCCTAAATGTGCACATCTGAAGCCTGTTACATAAAAAGCTTAGACTTCACTCTTTAGCCACTAAGAACAGGTTTCTAGCCATTGTTATACAACTAAGGACAGCAACTTTACTACAGCAAATGATGAGACAGGGACACCATCTAGAAAGGGGACAACTGTAATGGAATAAAAGGGCTGGTCTACACGGGGCGGGGTATGGGGGGGAAATCGATCCAAGATACGCAACTTCAGCTACGCGAATAGCGTAGCTGAAGTATCTTGGATCGAATTACCTGGGGTCCACACGGTGCGGGATCGACAGCCGCGGCTCCCCCGTCGACTGCGCTGCCGCCGCTCGCTCTGATGGAGTTCCGGAGTCGACGGTGAGCGCATTCGGGGATCGATATATCGCGTCTTAACGAGACGCGATATATCGATCC